GTCGGAGGCAGTGGGGGTAGGCGCGGCGCCAGCGACGCGCCGCTGCTCAGCGGCGTGCTTGGAGGGGGTGGAGCAGCGGCGTCTCGGTCAACCCCTCGGGCCCCTTCAAACCCCACTGAGATAGTAGACGACAGCGCGGCCCACGCACGCAACGGCCGGCCAGGGATGACGGCAAGAATATATAAGAATGAATGGCTCGCCTGGTCCACGATATCGTCGTGCAGCGAGGCGAGGGCGTTTGGCGCGGGCGCCCACGCCACCAGGGCGCCCTGGCCGAGGGTAAGCGCATCGTCTCGTGGCGCGACCCATGGGTCTTTGATTGATGCGCTAGGCCCGAAGAGCGTCTGGCGGCACGAGCGGAGCAGCATGGCGAGCTGGGAGGGGTCCGGGTGTGCTGAGGTGGGGGTCTCGGGATGGTGTATCGCAGTGCGCGCGGGGCGCGTCTCTAGATGCGTTAAGATCGTCACGGTTTACAGGCCAGCGGAACCAGCGAGGTCCAGGGACAGCGATCTCCAGGCGATCAAGGGCATATGTCCGGAGTCGCTGGTAAGTAGCGCTGATTAAGGTGTTTCAGTGATTCTATGCACCAATGCGCATCTAATTCACACACGCCTGGCCGCTTTGGGGCTGGTTGCTTGCCTGCCGCCCGCTCGCCTGGCACGCGTGGCACTCAACCTGCGCACGCCGCCGTGTGACCCTTGCACTGGGGCTGTGTAAGCACGTAAATGGAGTTACAGCCTGGTTATTGCAATACAAGGGATCCCTGGCCATAGCGAGGACGAAGGTAAGCCCTGCCAAGCGGCGACCCAGCACCTCACTTGCAATGCTGCCGCACAGCGGCAACAGCACTGCCCTGTGGCGCTTTAGCCCCAGCCCCAGCCCCGCCGCTGCACCGAAGATGGACCGGTGGGCGCGCACACTGCAGTAGGCTCACTCCTCATTTTCGGGGCTCATGAAGCTGACGTGGACAGAGAAGAGGTCCTTGGCGGTGCACACCTGGGCGTTGGGTGGTTGGGTGGGTGGTGTGTGTGTCGGGGTGTGTGGGTGTGTCTGGGGATTGTAAATATGGGTGTGATGTGGTGTATCATGTGTTGTTGTATCCTGTTTCAGGGGGGGAAGGGTTGCTGCATCGGCTTGTGACGTGCGTCCGAGGGTCAGGGGCTGGTGGCAGCTGGGCCGCAGCTGTGACACCCGGGGCCCGACCATTGCCTATCCTTTTCTTTTGCCCTCACCTTGACACCCGCCCACCTACCAGCCTCACTCAACCCCTGGATCATGCTAACCCCTCCTGCTCAACCTTGGAATCGGCCTCCATAAATCGCGGCCCCCCCCCTCGGGCCGCTGGACCCCGGGGCGCCTGAATCCCAGCCCCCGTGGACCCCAGCCCCAGCCACCCACCGCCGGGCTGCCAAACTCCGCGACCGCCTCATGAATCAGCGACTGCAGCGTCCCCTGGTCCGCCGCGACCTCCACCGCGCCCCCCCGTGCCCAGTGCGACCGCCGCGCGCGCCCGCCCTCCGCGCCGCCGCCCTCCTCCTCGTCGTCACTGCCGCCGCCGCCGCCGCCGCCGCCCACGCTCAGCGCCTTATAGCGCGCCGAGAAGTGCGTAAGCACGAGCGCGCGCGCGCCGACGACACGCGCGAACTGGCCGGCCATCCATGCAGTGGAGTGCTGCGCGCGGAGCGCCTTGTGCTCCATGCCGCGCGAGTACGTCGCCTCGTGGCTGAGGAGATCCGCGCCGACGCAGGCCGGCGCGAGGGCCGACGAGTCGACCGTGTCCCCCAGGATCACCACCCTCCGCGGCCGCACTGGCGGCAGCGCGCCGCCGCCGCCGCTGCTGGCGGCGACCCCGTTGCCGATGCCGCTGCCGCTGCCGGCGGCAGCTTCCTCGTCGTCGCCGCTGTCCTCGTCGTCCTCGCGGCTCGCCGCTGCCGCCGTGGCGTCCGGCGGCGGCTGCTCCGCCTTTGCGGCGCCGGCCTCCGGCGCCGTCACCCCCAGGATGCCCTCCTTGCCCTTCACCATGTTCTTGATGTAGTTGCGGTACAGCCGCCGGTACAGCTTCCGCCCGGCTGCGTCGTCCGGGCCCGGCAGCTTCTCGTCGAATGCGTAGCCCCAGCAGGGCAGGCGGTGCTGCAGCTGGCCGGCGGTGACGGTCATGTTTTCGAACTCGATGCGCCACGTCAGCCCGTGCTGGGCCTTGTAGTCATCCTGGACCTAGGGGGACGGGGAAAGGAGTAAGGG